GGTACCGTGCGGAGAGCTCCCACGCGGGAAACGGTCTCGAACCCGAACTGACCCACTTAGCCCGTGAAAACGACCTGGTTATCACGAAAATTGTTGCTCAAAAGATTCACCGTGCGCCTACTGATCAACCAGGGATCTGTGTCGGGACAAGTAGAGTCGATTATGTAGCCCCGCAGAAAAGTCCATTGCGATCGACGGATTCTATAAGGAATTGAACCCCTTCTCAGGGCTTATGAAGGATATAATAACCAAGTTTAGTTGCACGGCTCAAACAACGACACACGCCGTCATCAGAACCCCCGCCCCTTGCTGGTTGCGTGCTCTCCCGGAATCCCGCGTCGTCAAGGCGGTCCACCTGGCTCGACAGGGTCGCTGCTTAGTTCGAGGCGGCAGGGGTCGTGCCAGGCATCTTGCCTCTGTTTGGTCACTCGGCACTAGTGCACGGTACCTGTACTTGACCTAACCCTCGTCGGGGCATCCAAGTTTGTTGCTTGACGCTCTCACGCCACTGAATTCCACTTTCGGCATCGCCAACTCTTATTGTCCGCCTCCACCTCCGATCGGTCAGGTACACATAGATAGATCCTCTGTATCGTCAGCCAGAACCACTCGATTATAGCTTTTTAAACTTGAGTAGGATTGGGGACCTCGATCTTTCAGACTCCACACAAGTGACGAGGCTGGGGGAACCACTTTCTGGGACATATTCCTTTGATGGAATTGCCGAATTAAACAGCGAGAATAGCTTAGCATGGGAGGGAAATACCGACAGCTAAAAAAGCAAGATGCTAGTGATAGGAATTACACAAGGGCGGAGGGTGGGGTTATTCGCCCTGTTCATAATGTATGGTGTGGCCTTATTAACATCGATATACGGGTTTTGTTATCGTTCCCCGCATGCTCAGGTGTTCGATTCCGGTTGGCAGGGGGTTGGGTTTGGATTGAGGGATACTCTACTGTACTATAGATCGAAGCACATCTGTACTTGTACCGTACTTGGCCCTTTTTAAGTATTCAGACACCCGACGCCAAGACTAGCGGTAATAATGCCCGGGGTGTCCGAATACTTAAAGTCCTAGTACCGCCCGTGCTTGTGATTGGATAATCCTCTGGAAATATGATATAGCGGTGACAGAACTGATTTCGGCATTCATGAAAAATTGAAGCCTGATGAGGCTCCATCAAGTTCTCGATAGAGATGATAGATATTCGGCATGATGCCGTACCGTCCTGTGCTGTGATAGGTCTATTCAGAGCTCATCCCGTGCTGAGCCGCCAAATTAGCGCTACCTCGCCAGCCAAGAAGGGCATGTCCCAACCTCGCGATAATTAAACCACATCGCAGCGTCTTACAACTAGCGCTCCTCACCACCCGCAGAATCGGCCAAACATCTGGGAACAGGCTTAAAAGGAATCAGCCCGCGAGATTCACTCATCGAAAACTCTACACAAAATCCTTTGCACATTACGTGATTCGAACTAGCGCCCTTCTTCCAGCAGTGCACTAAGGCTCCACCCATCTCCCTCGTCCAACACTCCCGCTTTCTTTCCGCAGCCATGAAATTTCTTCCCCACCGCGCGATAACCGCCTTTGCATACCTCCTTACCTCTACCGCCGCTGCCGAGACAACTCTTGCAAACCCCCATCGTCTAGTACCCTATCCAATCGCTAGTGGTGGTGCGGCTGTGTGCACAGGCGGCACATTCGATTCCTGCGTGGGAGACGTGATATGCACGCAATCGTTTCCTAAGAGCTGCCTCTGCCAAAACAATGCCAAGATGAGGTGTGCTTCTGCATGTGGAGCTGCGAAGCCCGAGCTGCAGAACTGTGGGTAGGGGAGGGATTTCGCGACCACATACTACTTTACACACCTGGGATGGAAAGGGCGGGGTGATCTCTAGAACCTTGCTTCGAGGGAGATGTGTGGCTTGTCTATTTTCTTTGTTATTGGGCTAGAAACAATGAGCCACATGTGTCCCTACCATAATGTATTAAAAATGCGAACATTTCCATTTTGCCAAACGGCTTCTAAGCCCCTGGGGGATCATATATGATTCTAGTGTATCCCACAATTATTACTATAGGACACTCAACAGAGTCGAAACGTCGAAACTTACCACTGCTCCCCAAATGCGAATGATTTTATGTAAACTGTTTGCCCCGATACTAGAACCCGAGCTCAGATCGATTACCCGGTATTACCACCCGTCCGACACTGTAATCCGCGAGGAGAGTGTTTTTCCTGTGCCGTGCGCTCGCCGTAGCCCCACTCTTTGGCTCCATGGAGACGTACAACAGCAGAAATCTATGGAGCGAGCACTGGCGAGCAAACTTGCACCATGGTGCCTCTGGCAGAACATAGCGGGGCTCGACATGATTCGCGGGCACGGCAGCTAGCTTGATCGGTGTGCTGCCGGTCTCAAGCAATCGGAAACCCGCCTTGGGTGTTTTGTACTGTGCTCGGGTACGGCCGCGTTCGTAAGTCTCCGATGCCCTTCCTTGTGCCTCAGGAATTATACCCATTAACAACAAGAGAACAGGAAGAGCATTTTTGACAACCGTTTTTGGATATTCCACTAGGGGTATTGTAAACTGTTATCACCATCAGCCCTATTCTACTAATCAGCGCTCGTTAGAGGGAGGGGCTAAAGAAGGGTTATTAAGGACTAGGGGCACTTGGAAGGGTGTGAGAACTTTACGAATGCACCTGCACCAAACCACATGATACCGGCACTATAGTAGCGGCAGGGCACGAACGTCGCTACAAAGAGCCGGCAAGCCGCGAGAGATAAGATGCCGCACAAAATAGGCTTCCCCCCATCCAGGCGCAACACCTTTTTGTCCCAGCCATCCACCATCCCGTCCTCCCAAATAAGCCAGACACCACCACCGATGCAGCGCTTGTTTAAGCTACAAGTATCATACTGCACAGGGCACCGCAGAAACAGGCGCGATCAATTAACCGTTTATATTAATGGCAGACGCCGCAAATCGGCCGCTAGATCCCTCGTCCCCTTTTTCCATCCTGCAGTGTCGAGTAGGCCATGGTACGGCAAGGTGGCCGAAATAGTGCATCCTCCACTAGATCCAGTAATCCGCGAAACCCGAGATTCGATGACCTCCTTGCTTTCCTCTCTTCTGCTCGATGGCTTGCTTTCCTTCCTGCCGGCTTGTCCGCCTGATTGCTCGGTTGCGCGCTGGATGGGGAGATGGAGGGTGACCTCTCCGGACCTTACCGTATCGTAAGTTTAATTCTCCGGAGCAGAACACAGAAAAGGCACGAGCACGACCAACAACCGCACCCACACGGTTGTCGTGGTCGTTTCTGCGCCGCTCTCACCGCCTGTCGGGGGGCAACAAGCAGGTCAGGAGAAAACGCTTAATATACCGGTACGAGTACAAGTGACATAGATTGCAGGGGTAACTTAAACCAAGGAATACCATCGCTCAGAATCACGACCTATCCTATGATACACAAGGGCGTTCGCTTGACGGCTCTGATCAGCGAGTGTTATCACGATAAAAATCTTTGGAACTAACCCGATTGAGATTAAGCGGAATAGCCAAGAGCCTCTGCTATTTTTGCTGAATGCTACTGATGTTCGGGATCAAAAGTGCTGGCGGTGCCTCGGTAGGCACTTTTTTTTCAATTAACACTCTTGGCACCTACCTGCTCCACCCAATGCTTTTCTTCCTTTCTACAAATATTGGAGGTTCAAACCGATAATGCCTCTATACGGTAGTGACGGGGGAGAGAGGTCGCGCTGTGGCCTGCTGTTTGTGCTGGACGAGGGAATCCCGTACGGTACGGCGAGAAGTTAGGGAACAGTACAGTAGTTTGAGGCTGATCCGCTAGCTAAATACTGCTTCCCGGTCAATGAGTTCCCATCATTCCCGGGAAATGGCCAATTTAACTCTGGAGGGATTGAAAATAGGAGGCATATGTGATGCAATAGACAGATGAACTCTCGTATATACCATACAGTCTACAAACCACGCAAGGCCCCGAACACTGTATCTGGATTATTGGAGGAAAAGCCACACGAAGTCATGACGGCGATTATCGCTTGATGTACCGTACTGTGCAAGTACAGTACGGTACCGGTACTCGAGAACAATACAGTACGATACTCGCGCACAGTTCGCTAACCGGGTAACCCTTGTTACTTGGCAATCCTCTCAGCGCACTCGTTGCTTCCGTTTCACAAGTATTATTATATGAAAGTGCGCATGGGACGGTGTGATACAGAGATTAATTCACCGACCAACCAGCGGGACGATACTGATCCGGTCTCCACTCCTCAGTATCACGTCCCACGGAGTAAGCCAACCCAACCCAAGGCCTTGCCCATCTCATAGTACTGTACCGTACTCGTACTGTATGATACGTCTGGAAGGTAAGTTATGTACCAGAGGGACCGGAAGAAGAGACTCTGACAGGCAAGTCCGTCACCCTCTAAGAACCCTTGGAAATTTGAGAAACGAGTCCCTGGGCAGGGTAGTTGGGACTCTACAACCGAGTTAGAGCCTCAGATCTCTTGAAATGTTCCCTTGTTCCCTTGATAACTCGGGTTGGCCCGTCTATTGGTGGTAGCTGGGTTATTAATCTCACCAGGAGTATCCCTGCGACTGGTGGCATTTCGAACATTTCCCCGCGGGCAGGTGAATCCGATCCCCGATCAACTGTCAAGTGGTGCACACGCGTGCTGCAGCTGGATGGACCGCACGAAGCAAGCGTCAAGTATATCCTTACAATACATATTATACTTCCGACTATCTACGGTTTTGTGGGATTGACCCCTCGACCCTTAGGGCAGGGTAGATGCACACGATGCGGTCCGGTGGCCTCTGTTCGGCCCAGAAGTTGGCTGGGACTGCTCAGGATAATTTGGAAGAATGGGACTGGCCAATCCTTCCAATAAGGGGAAATACCGTATATCGAGAGAAAAAGGAAAAGAAAAAAAAAAGTATCATACCGGTAACTCCTTTCGCCCCTCTCAACGTTCACGGAGATTTTAACTCCTCCCACTTTGCGGGATAACGGCCGTAAGTATACCATTATAGCCGTTCACCCCTCAGTGCATCACATGTGGGTCACGGCATCTAGACTCGTATACCGTTCAGTTCAGTGCAGTGCATTAACTTATAGTACAGCGCTCTGCGTGGCATCATACCCGTAGTATTGAGATGTCGTTTTCGTATGCCGGTTAGGGCATTGGATCTGGCCCGCGCTTCCGCGTGAAATATTTAATATGTACTTACTCCCGCACCCCATCAGTTCTGGTTCCTTGGACCAAACCCTCTAAAGAAAGTCTCACGAAGCTGTTGCGGGGTTGCTCTCCCTCCCTTCTCGTTCCTTCTTCTTCGCGCTTGCTCTCTCTACCTTACCACCACCACCACCACCACGAATAACTCGCCTGCCGACAATGGCGTCAGCTAGTGCATCACCCCGCAGCCCACTGAGTCCCCATAGTGCTGCTTCCCCGGGTCCACAGCAGGGTATTGATGGGGTGGCTATCGAAGCAGATGTATGTCTGATTGTCCCGCTTTCTCCCTTCCCTCCTTTTCGACCCGCCCCTTTACCTTGTTTGTTTGTTTTGTTTCCATGTTTGCCAACCATATTGATATAAGGAATAGACGGAAATAGTGGATGATGGAGATTCTGCATTCGGTTCCGATGTTTCGAGTTATGTTACCTCTCTGTCATCTTCTATAACAAACTATCGGTACGAGAATGGCAGGCGCTATCATGCGTAAGTTTTGCTCTTCCTGATATATCGCTGCTCGGGTTTGACTAATTATTTATTTGCTGTAACAGTTTTCGGGAAGGGGGTATGTTTCCTTAGTTGAATTTACAGTATAACGCGGGATCCTAGCTCACCTTTTCCCTATCCCAGCTTATGTTCTTCCCAATGATGAGGTAGAAACCGCATTGAATTATCGGGTTACCGGGGTAGTACTGATTGGGGGTATGGTGCTAGGCCGAGAGCGATAGGCTGGACCTTCAGCACCAGATGTTATCTCTTTTATTCGGGTTACATAGAGCTCCTCTACAGAATCCACAAAAGATACTAGACATCGGCACAGGGACGGGCATCTGGGCCGTAGAAATGGCGGATAAATTCCCATCGTCAGAGGTACCCCAAACTTTAAACCTTTAGCCTTATAATTTATATTTAGCCAACAAGCAATATTAATCACTGCCCCACTGGTAGGTAATCGGCAACGATCTTAGTCCCATTCAGCCCAGCTGGTGTGTAAACCCCCATTCCCCCAAAGTGAGCGACGATCCCTAACAAATACTCTCAAGGGTTCCTCCAAACCTTCGCTTTGAAATCGACGACGCAGAATCCGATTGGGCTTACAGACTCAGTTCCTTCGATTACATCCACACCCGCTACATGATCGGCAGCGTCCTGGACTGGCCTAAACTCCTCCGCCAAGCCTATGACTTCTCGAAACCGGGTGGCTATGTCGAACTCCAAGAGATCAATTGCGAGGTGTATTCGGACGACAATACCCTCCCACCCAATAGCGCAGTCGAGAAATGGACTTTACTCATGGCCGACGCTGCAAGAAAGAACAAACGTCCCATGGACATCTGCAGGGAACTGCAGCCCATGCTCGAGGAGGCTGGATTTATCAATGTCTCCCGCGAGGTGTACAAATTACCCTCGGGTCCCTGGGCAAAGGACAGCAAACTCAAGGAGATTGGCGCATTTAACTTGGTGAATCTATTGGAAGGTCTAGAGGGATTGAGTTTAGCACTATTCACTAGAGTCCTTGGGTGGAGCGCAGAGGAGGTGATGGCCTTTCTACCATCCGTCCGTCAGGAAGTCCAGAGAAAGGATGTTCATCTCATCTGGGACATTTACGTCATTTGGGGACAGAAACCGGAGGTTTAAAAAAATAAAATAAAAATAAGCCAATGTGTAGCCAATAGTTCAAAATCGCATGGGGGTCCCAACTCACCTGACCCCAGAATGTCAAATTTTCATGATATTCATCCAATTTCGGTGATACTCAGTCAACCCGTTAGGGCACTATACACATAGTACTTTCTTTCCTCTATCTACTGCCAGCTGCAGCAATAGGATCAATCAAGTGCTAGTTGGTGAAGCATATCATACAACAAAAATCTGTACAAGTGTACCGGCATCGCATCTCTGAGTATTGCGGAACGCCAGCTGTGCCCCCAGCTCAGAAATAGGCAGCTTTTCCTACTCCGTTTTCCACAGAGCCCAATTAAGTGAAGCTACAAAGCGCCGCAGTTTCTGGTGCATAATTTCTGAGATGGGGGACGCAGCTAACATTCCGCCATAATTTCACCTAGCAAACCACCATAGTATTATACTCGTACAGCACATGGCAATGCTACCGGTATAGCAGCCCCGGAAATCTAACAGTTACATCCAGCGCCGCCCACGTCCCTGCAACCAACATGCCGGCATACCGAATGGAGAATTCCGCATAAGTATTATTTCCCCACAAGTACTAGTACGGGTAGCTGTAGGAGAGATTAAAGTGCCATTACTTGACTCAAATATTTTCCATTGGAATCGCTTCGAGTTCGCTAGTCCCCCGGCGTGACTTCGCGCGCTGTTTCCCCCCAAGCGTTGCGGGAGCACAGTAGATGGACCCTTCAGAAGCAGCGGGGTCAGGTTCTCCTTGAAACGGTCTCCCTGGTGCCTAGGAAAATTCCCAAACATTACATTTGTGGAACGCCGTTAATATCCCTGCTTCTGCCCTACCTTAACCATCTGGTGCTGCTGGGTGACGCCGCTAATACACCAGAACCGGGAGACTAGAAGATTCAGAACAATCTTCTCCACGATCCAGCAAATCTGCTAGGATGAATTTGGTGGATGAATTAGTTAAAAAGAGAAAATTGCGAATTCGGGCTGAGGCCGGAGATTTCTCCTCTTTTCAGGGAGATAAGTTGACTGTTCCGATCTATCCGCTCTTTCGGGAAGGCCATATTTCGTGGTTGGCATTGGACCTTTGCGCTGTCTGGGAGGTTCAGGGAAGCAGCTTTCGAAACGGAAATCGTCGGTATGGGAGTGATGATTGGCATGGGAATCATCCGGGTGAAATAATTTCTAGGAGGCTGGGAGTGAATGTTGAAAGCATGAAATTGTGACGACTGATCTCTCTTTGGAAAACATGAATATAGCCCGTGCTATTGTTGTTGCTTGTTACGATAGCCATATGAGATGCTATATGGGTTGACTTCGGATTTCACTTGGAAATGTCATAAGAGCGCCGTCAGTGTTGATCGTTGCAGTCGTGAAAAGGGGGCGATGCGAAGCCGAGGTTTAGCTACCGTATTGTATTACCTACTGTCTGACCGGAGTTTTCGATTTGCCGGCCTATTACCCCCAAGTTCCAGTGGATTCTAAACACAGATGTTGTGGTGGCCAAATTGTGTCTCAAGCCGAGGGTGGTCGAGATTTTGTGTTATATTGTATTACGAGATAGTGTATCTTGTCATCGTATTTCGGACCGGGAGCCTGGCGGGCTTCCTGGAGCCAGTGTTCCCGGTCGCTCAGCCGGACGGCGCTAGCGCTAGCTTCTCTTTTATGGGTACAGTACCGTGTTCCATTCCGCTTTTCACCTTTATTTTGTTTAACGCATTGCAGTGCCAGTGGGTGTCTGGCTGAGTGCGCTGGCCAATTAAAGTCATCTACAGTCGACGACCGTCCACCCCGCCTTGGGCGTGCCGGACCACTGGGAGCACTGCCGGTAGCCTTGATAACTACTCGTAGTGGGGTGTACTTTCTGAGATGCTCTTGGAGAAAGGACCGCGCATAGAATTTGCCTGATCTCCCTCGTATCATGGATTTATGGACATTTCAACGCCTAATTCTGGCAAGTGGATGCTGATCGTGAACCGGAGGGCATAGCCCGTTCCCGCGAGCCACTGACACCCCAAGCGAGTAGAAATGTAGAAATAGGGAATGTCTCAGAAAGCGCGTCTGTAGGCTCCGCGAAAATCGTGATGTAGCGCTAGGATGAGAAGATGAGAGCTAGATTATTGAGTGAGAGACGGTTGGTACCCGTGCCGTCGAGGGAGAACTCCGTCTGAAGGGGGGGATGGAGTATTCCGGCGAGCTGTAAGGACTCAGCTGTGAGAGGAAAACAGGTGATGGAGCCAATCACCGAACCGTTTCCTATCGTCCAGCTGAACACACCCCAAGGCTTACTCGTCCAAGACGGGCTCCGCGAGCCCCTAGATTACGCCCCGGTATGAAGAGATAAATAATTTCATTCCTACCGTAGGGGTTGCTCACTCTACCATATCGTTTTTAGCATAAAAAACCCCTGAAGGAAAAGTGCTGATCTGCTTTAGGCCCCCTTCTCGCCGACATGGCCTCACATACCCAAAAAGGCCTCCTCATTCTTTTCACAGAACTCCCTGGAGGCGGGGGCGCTAAAAACAGTAGTCACAAGCGAGAAACATTCACGAATAGCATGCCCCTAGATGGAGGGAGACAAAAAGAGTATCATACTCGAGTATCATAACAAAGACATTAGACTACGGTAGTGGGGCAACCAAGCCCTACGAGTCGAGTGCTAGAGGGGTTAGGTGGGAGAAATGTATCCGGACATCTCGGCGCCATGGTGTCCCAATTTGCACCTAAATATGCGACTCTTGGCGCCGAGGCACCCGGGTACTTTACTGTATAAATCGTCAGACAAGTATGATATCATAATGGAGACGAGGATCCGCCTAAAGCATCAAGTGCTAGAGACTACTGACACAGCAGGGGGCTCAACGAACAATCCACTGAGGATGCCTTGGCAAGCTGGGATTCTCTTTGGTCTGTTCGTCAGTCCCCATGTTCGTTGCCCCCTCTTGTGTTACCCTATAGAGTACTCGTACTCGTACAGGTACAATCTGGACCGAGAGATAAGATGATTTACTAGGCGCGTATCACATTATTTTCTGTCCTTTTCGCCCCCCAAGACCCCCCCAACCACCCCATACGAACAGACCCCATTTCTTTATCTCATGGGGATCCCATCACTAGGTGCCGCACCCATGCTCCCCGATATCCAGTGTTTGTTAGGGTCCGCTTAGAAGATCAAATACCTCAGCCAACACCACTACACACTGGTTCCAAGTTAAGTGCAATATACTCCGAACTCCTGAGCCAATAGCTGAGTTAATCGCCGGTCATGGACTTGGAAAGACGGCCACTGAAACAAAAGCCTTACAGCGTCAGCAGTAAGCCCAGGCGATCCCGTACAGTGGCATGAAAAAGCCTACGCACCGGCTCCTGCGCCGACCCTCGAAGCCTACGCCTATCTCCCGATAAACTCAACTTGGGGTAGGAGGTATGGGATATGTTGGCCAAAAAATGGGGACCAAAATAGACCCGAATACCGGGGCCAAAGTGCCCTCAAGGATCAAACCGAGTGATATCAGGAGATTCTTGGCGAACCAGCCGTGGGGCATGTGACAGCCACCGCGAAAGGGCACAGCAGCCACGTGCCTGGGGAGAGGATTATTGGGTGCGCAATATTTGGGAGCGCTGCGCCATGAGCTTATCTTGTCTCGATCGACCGATAAGTTAGCGGTCACGAAGCGAGTCCAGTCATACAGGTTACCGACTGCCGGCCAAAACCTAGTCCACGCGACCCCCCCGGCACATGGGGCGTTCCGATGAGCTTACCGGGCCGGGCTGTATTATCGTACTTATTCCCATGGCCCGCCCCCTCCCACGACTGCTCAGAACGATCCGACTTTCGTGTTCGGATGAAACCTTCTGGAGCATTTCGGAATAGGGATGGGGCGCACGCACTGCTGATCACCCGAGAGTTAAGACGGGTATAAAGATAGTTTGCGTCATAGTTGGGTTTCTGGGCCGCGGACGTCGGTAGAACCTGTGATGCTCTTGTTGCACATTCTCTGGTAGCCATCATGGGATTAAGGAAGCTTGAGTGGGTGACGAAGGGATAAGAGAGATATACCATCTACTCCTTTTGATCTTGAAGAGAGCGAGGGGAAACTTGATTCGGTGGAGCACTTGAGAAACGGAATAAAGGCGAGAACATTTCCGCAGTCTACGCTCTCCGTTCGCTCACCCCCTGGCCCTATGAAATACCTTGGTCCTCGTACACATCTTGGGCCTCGTATCATTTGATTCACTCAATATTATTGCATCGATATCATTGTCGTTTGTCGCTACATATCGCCGCCTATACTTTCCACTTTTCGGACGAGAAAAGTTAACACCACTCTTCAGAGAGCTCTACCGACCCCGCGATACCTTTTCTCCTCCAGCTACTGATATAGCACCTACGACATGCTATATCATTCTATCCCCTCCGACTTCGAGCCGTATCACTCTTACGGCCGCCACAATCCTCCTCCAGCATCTCCCCTCTACAGCATAAAGCAAGACCTCACTTGGAACCGACAATCGAGACACTTCTTCACACCCGAAGATCCCTATCCGGCGAAGCCTCGCTCTTTTCAAGAATTCAACGCGCAAAGGGTGGAGCGAGACGTCCATATTCGCAGATCTCGCCGGAAGCTACGGTCTGTGCCAGCATACCCACAGTTACGTCCTGATCCCCCGCCCGTGTACAGGGAGGAATATATACCGTTGGAACCGGAGGGGCAGGTAGAGAGTATGTACTACTTGGGAACGGACGATACCCCCCCGTTGTATCTTTCGCGTCGTTGGGAGCGGCGGAAGTACACCCCACCAGAGAGCCCCGTTTGTGGCGGGGAGTGGGGGGGTATTGGTGGTTGGCGCGACGCTGGTGGATACGAGCAACCGAGCCCCCCGAGGAGGTTACGGAGGGTTCCTAAGTTTTGCTTCTAAGGACGGATACCATTTTTCTTTTGCGATCATGTTTGGATGGTTATAACGCCTTTTTCTTCAAGTTACATCTTCATCACTCGGCGTTTGGGATATTGAGTGTTTTCCTTTCAACAGCCCGTCGCCCTTTGTCGATTCCTACTTTCAATATTTTCCTTTAGCTT